AAGAACCAACTGCACCCATACAAAATACCTTTTCGTCTTACCAAAAAGAGTGACCCGTAAAATAAGAAACCTTTTCCTCTGTCGTCGTAATAAGAATACGTGTACTTGACTTCCCCATACCCGCTTCATTTTCGGCAACCAACCGGAAAACGTAGGTAGTATTCGGCTGTAACGGAGTCACCGTGAACGATGTCGCTGACGAGTTCAGCATCCGTTCCCTGAATTCAACCCGCTTTTACATGTTGCGAAACGTTGAAAATGCACAAATAAGGTTCCAGAGAAACGTTACTGTTATAATTTCAACATAAAAAAACAGCAGAAATTAAATGATTCGATTTCTAAAACTAAAAATGAATTCATTACATTAAGTGCTTAGTTACGTTACTGTTATAATTTCAACATAAAAAAACAGTAGTGATTAAATGATTCGATTTCTACAACTAAAAATGAATTTGTTACATAAGTGCTTAGTTCCTAAAACATTTTCACTTCACATAACAAAAATATGCCACTAATTAAAAACAGCTAACAACCTTGAAGAATCTTGCTCCTTATAGAAAATGTGATAAGCTAAAACAGCACCATGGTGCTGCACAGGAGGATCCCAAGTCAGAACCACAAAACGACTCCCAACAACACTTGCACGAACACCTAGCGGTTCTGATGGTAATTTCGGCTGTCCACTTGAAGCAGCCATTGAAAATGAATCTAAAATTAGGTCCGTCAAAACACGATGCATCAAAATTATGATCAACTGAACTGCTTATCGAGAAGTGAGATGTGGACAAATACGAAATGGTGACAGTTTGTGTATAAAAAATGACAGTGAGATTCTAATGGATTTAGAAAAAGCGCATTTGTACAAAGAACAGAAAATGTTTATCTGCGCGAATTTATTCAACAATAACTTGAGAAAGAAGGAAATGACAATGATAGTAATATGTGAATGGTACGAATGTGTCATGTGACAATGAACATTTTTTTTTGAATTCTTTTAGCTGATTACGTCATTAACTA